CGGACCCAACCAAAATAGTATTTTTATATAAATAACATTTAATATATAAATAATATTAAATAAATATAAGTATATATATTTAGTTATAGTACTTAAATAATGCATATACATATTTAATATAATATTTATATTTATATATATATATGTATTAATCGCGTCCAGGTCCAACCGGGCCAAGACCCAACCCGACCTGTTACAACCCCTATTCGGTAGTTTACGGCTTCATTAATACGATGCATCACAAGAAATTTTATTTTTTAAAATTTCCATGTATTAAACATCAGTACCCCACCTAAATGTCTACAAATCCTCTTTGACCCAAAAACCAATATAGTACAAACCGAGTGCATGAAATAAACATTCTAGATTAGGAAATATTTTAGAACCGCTCTTTGGTTTAGAGTGTCCACGGCCGCATAAAAATCCCACTTATTTTGTTATTAAAAGGTGCATCCTTCACCAAGGGTACAGTTTATACATGCGTCACACTTTAAAATATAAAATTAAGGCCCCCTTCAAAAGTACCTCGAAAAGGGGTATTTTGATATTGGAAAAATATGTAATTGATCACCTCGACAAGGAGATGTATGGATTTTGAGAAAAGAAAGATTTCAATTCCAAAAAATAGTACATCTTACAACAAATTATTGGACCATCCTTTTTAAACATTTATAGTTTTTTTTATTTGAACCATTTTTTGAGTTCAAAATTTTATAATTAGAATGACGGATCAAGATATGTGTAGCCAACCTCAAATAGTTGAGAAAAAGCTTCGATAATGATGATGAAAGATGAAAATTGATTCTTGCACTATCCTAAGAAATTTCAAACCAAAATTGTATATTATAACAAAATTTAGAACTATGCCTTACTTTGATTATTTAAGGCTGCAACCATAAGCAGACTACACCCCTTAAACGGTCAAACGTGCATTTCCAAACCTTTCAAGTAGTCCTACTACCAAAATTCCCTACCATGGCATGGATATCTATTTTTATTCATAATTACGAAATTTAAAGTTAAAAGAATAGTGCAAATCAAGTATGTTTATGAACACTTTAGATATTTTGAAAATGAACGATCCAAATAATGTGCTGCAAGACTTACAAATAAAAAAGGTTCATACAAGGTTGCTACCTTATTATTTAGAAAAAAAACCACGCCTCAAAAGTCTATGAATGAGGTTATTCCAATGCTATAAACCTTCTACTTGATCATCTCACCCAATGATCCATAGATATGTAACAAAAATAAAAATGGTTTTAAAGTCTTAAAAAAGATACATCTCGTGATACATTATCTTCTAGACCATTCATTATTTAGATTTTCATCTATTTTTGTATTTGCTCTATTTGTACAATTTTTTTAGTTTTAAATTTCATAAGTAGATGTGATGCATAATTTCAGGTTGTCATTAAAATTTCCATCACCAAAAATACATCTTTGATGAGCTTTGGAGGTGGGCCTTACTTGGATTGTTTAAGGTTGACACCTTATATAAACTACACCCTTTATAAATTATTATTCGTTTGAAAATAATTTATATAATATCAACCTTATACTATTGAAGTGTACCTAAGAATGGGATGGGGCCTTAGCTGTAGTACTAATAAGCTTTATGATGAAGTATTTGACTCCATTCTAAAAATAATAATATTTTTTTTTTTTTCATATCCATACTTATGTTGATAATCACTTGGAGAGCTTTCCACCATATGCACAACATTATGAGTTTCTGGTTAAGCATTCCTTTATTATAGAAGGCCGTATATAAAATATTCTCTTCATTTAATTAAATTTATTTATTTTTCCACATCCATTCTTCTTGAATATTGATAATCGCTTGGAGAGCTTTCCACCGTATGCACAACATTATGAGTTTCTAGTTAGGCATTCCTTTTGGCGGCCTCGTATAAAATTTTATCTTCATTTAATTTAATATGTGCAAGGGCCATTTCACCATTGGTGTTATCCTAAAAAAATCCAAACTAAGAATATAGAGCTCTCATGAGAACTAGGAAATTTATGAAATTATTCACGAGATGAACAACTTAACAGCTTGCCCATATTTTTTTATTTAATTTCAAAAGACGCACAAAAGACACATGATTGTGCATATAATCAGAATATTAAAAAAATTACCTATATATCCTCTATAATTACTATTATAATTAAAGTTCTCAATTTTTAAATATTACATGTATTTCCCTTTTCTAGTTCTTTTTTGTAATGGAAAATTGTTTCATGCGGGCTGGACTGCATTTATACAATATGCGGCCCAAAAGTATAAAGCATCCACCTTAAAGATGGATGCAAATAGGTGGTCCATCTAAAAACAAGTATAACTAACAGTTCAAATGAAATACTACTGGACAATCGTGACCGTATCTTTATTTTTTAATGAAAAAGTATGCCTAACTCCTATAGACGAAAATGAAAAGTTATTTCGTCTACCCTCATCAAAGTCTAAAGTTCATCGTATGGTCACGATCGTCCAATAGTATTTCATTTTTTATTTTTTTCTACAATTCGGAATGATCTAAAATATGAAGTGTGTATACATCTTAGTGAGGCACACCTAATAAAAATATAAAAAAAATAATTAGTAAAAAATAAATTAACCAAAATACCCCCCATAAAATTTAAGGGGTATTTTGATCATTTTTTCATGTAAAATAATTTTTTGATATTTTTCATAGGTTCGCCTGTTTTTATAAACATATGCTCCAAATTTCAAGTCATTCTGATTTGTAAAAAAATAATGAAAAATGAAATATTATTAGACAATCGTGACCGTACGATGAACTTTGGATGGTGATGAGGGTATGCAAAATCATTGTTCATTTTCACCTATAAGATTTTTGTAGTATCTTCCTGGAAAAGTCTTCCCAACGCCTATAGGTGAAAATGAACAATGATTTTGCCTCCCCTCATCACCGTCTAAAGTTCATCACATAGTCACGATTATCCGTTAGTATTTCATTTTTCATTTTTTTTCTACAAATTGGAATAATCTAAAATTTGGAACTTGTGTACATCTTAGTGAGTTGCACCTAATTAAAAATATAAAAAAAAAATTTATGAAAGATAATTTATTAAAATACCCCTGAAACATTTCGGAGGTATTTTGGTCAATTTTTTTATGTAAAATATTTTCTTGATATTTTTCATAATTCGGCTATTTTTTATGAACATACGCTTCAAATTTTAGGTTATTCTGATTTGTAAAAAAATAAATAATAAAATACTACCGGACAATCGTAACCGTACGATGAACTTTTGATGGTGATGAGGGTAAGTAAAATCACATTTTATTTTCGCATATAAGTGTTTTGTAGTATCTTTCTTTCTTAATATAATTATTCTTTCTAGTTTTTATTTTATTTTATTTATTTGTTTATTTATTTTCATATTCATGATCTCTACGTTAAAGATTATATATTCTCTAAAAATTAGGATCAAATTATATTTAAAAAATGTGTTTAGTGCCAAGCCAGCATTTCTACATTATGCGGGCTGGCCGCATAGAAACCGTGTCTTTTTGTAATTTTCATTTTGTCCTCACTTCGAATGCTAAAATCCGAAGTTATAAAGTTACATGACTTCAAATCTCTAATTCCTGAAGTCATAAGCCAGTCATAAAGGTCGTCTAGTGTCTTAAATTCTTAATGAGGTGACGTTCTGACTTCGGATATAGAAATATGAAGTTATAAGGTAACCTTGTGATTTCGGAAATTGGATTCCCAAATCATATGCGACTAGATTTTCACCGTATAAAGTGAAGGCAAAATTGAAACAACAAAGTGCACGAGAAAACGGATACATGTGGAATGTTAAAAAATTGAAGGAGATTGTCATCATTATTATCATGGTCTTTTACTAATCATATAGGATGGCTATATAAATCCTATTATGCCATCATGCTTAATGAGATATAAGTCTCAAAATCTTTTCTCATTACCTCCAACCATATCTTTTTTGGCTTATCTCTTGTCATTTTTTAGGTTTTCACTTGAACCAACTCGTCCCTCTTAACTGCTACTAGACTGGGTCCGTACTACACATGGCCAGCCCATTTAAGTCTACTTTATTTCATTTTATCCACCGTTGGAGCCATATCTAAGTTTTCTCAAATGTATTCATTTTGAATGCTATCCCTTCTTGTCTTGCTGTTCAGCCATCTTAATATCTTCATCTCCACTATACTCATCCTATCGGTGTGTTGTTTATTGACCGCCTAATATTTGGCCCCATAAAGTAAAGTTGGTCTCAATTGAAGGAGATTTTAGTAATTAAGATTATTATATGGGATTATATACAATGAAACCATTTACCTTTAATACGAGGAGGTCACAATTACTTATAACTATCCGATGTGAAATTTATACTTGGTTGTGTTATAGAGTTTGAGAATTGTTCTTTTGGACTCTGAGTTTGGTCAGTGAAATAAATGCAACTACCCAATTTCACATCCAACGGTCAAGATTAATTGTGACCACTTTGTATCAAAAATAAATTATCTTGCATTATACTTTTCCAATTATATGAAATATACACTTAATTTTCTTTACAATATAGATAGTGATATTTTTTTTAGAAAAGTGTACAATGAAAATTTTCATCTTTTGTACATAGTGGTCATAATTAATTTTGATCTTTAGATGTGAAATTAAATGGCTGTATTTATTTATTGACCAAGCTCAAATTTTAATTTTTTTTTTAAAAAACTTTATAACACACTCAATCTATTACATTTCACGCCGGATGATCGTAAACAATTGTATCCACCTCGTACCCAAGGCAAAAGCTCCCTTGTACACGTTTTTTATATAAAAAATGATACCACATCGCACGAATTCCATCATAGAGCCCATCAATTTTCACGTAATTTCGTCGTCGCGTGAAATTATAGGAGTCGGACCATACACGTGGCACATTTTGATCGAGGACGTCCACTTTAACGGAACAGTAGCACTAGCACTACCAAGTGACGTGAAGCTGTATTATAGTGTAGTTTAAAAATCAGATTTTCTAGGGTTTCATCAATGGAAAGATGGAAGATTGCATATTGTGCTGAAGATAGGGTTTTTCTAAGATTTCGTCAATGGAAGATGGGCGTTGGGTTTTTCTAGGATTTCGATTGATGTAAGGCTGTAGAGTTGCAGAGCTAGGATTTTTAGGGAGCCATGGGGTCTCTGCTCAGAGCAGCTCCATTTTCCCCTGCACTTCTCCCTGAACACCCCAAACTAGACCCTAATGGTTACCAAAGGTTAAGATTGAGACTCAATACCAGCAATCGAAACCAAATTAGGTGCAGGGTTGCTTCTTCGGGAATTACAACACCACCACCCAGATTACCGTTGGTTGGGTTTCAGGGCTTCACTGGCTTTCCCCATAAGAAAAGCTCCATTGTCTGCAGTTATTCTGCAGAAGCATCAGTCCCTGCCATTAACAAGGGTGTGTTTTTGGGGGTTGAGATTAATACTCTGAAGAAGGTCATTCCACTTGGTTTGATGTTCTTCTGTATACTCTTCAATTACACAATTCTCAGAGATACAAAGGATGTATTGGTTGTTACAGCAAAGGGGAGCAGTGCGGAGATAATTCCATTTCTAAAGACTTGGGTTAATCTCCCTATGGCAATTGGGTTCATGTTGATTTATACTAAGCTTTCCAATGTGCTATCAAAGGAGGCTCTTTTCTACTCATGTATAATGCCCTTTATTGCTTTTTTTGGGGTATTTGCCTTTGTTCTATATCCACTCAGCAGTGTGATACACCCAACTGCTTTTGCTGATAGGATTTTGCAAATCCTGGGTCCGAGTTTTCTTGGGCCAATCGCAATTTTGAGGATATGGAGCTTCTGTTTATTCTATGTCATGGCTGAACTTTGGGGAAGTGTTGTTGTGTCCTTGCTCTTTTGGGGGTTTGCTAATCAGGTGAGCGAATGTTAATTATGAATGAATTTTCTATTATGATTTGGTTTTGCTGTGCAATTGCTGTTTGTTGTAGCATGATTTTATTTGGGAACTGTAGTATGTTTTGGTGGTGTTTTACTGGTGCTGGTCTGGGTTTATTGAGATATATCTTTTTATATAGAGACTGTGGTTAAAACAGTTTTCGGTAGTTTAGTGAATTCCAGATAGATTTGCTGATCTTTGGCAAATAATTAAATTGAATTGTGTTCTGGCTATTTTCAATTAAACTCTTGATGAAGATGGTTTCAGGTTTGATTGAGTATAATTAATGACTGTTGAAGGTCTCCGTCCACTCTGGATTTGGGGGTAAAGTTGTTTTTCTATATATCTCTTGAAATATGTTCTTGGATTAATGCTCTGTCACCCATCTGAGTGCGCTTTTGTTTTATTTTATTTTCTGGATCATAAATGAGTTTGATGTCAGTTTTTTTAGATAATTTGTTTTGGTGATTAATTGTCAAAAATTGTTTTTGTGATTCATTTATGTTTTTTTCTCTCATGATTCATTTATCTATTGAATGACCTTTTCTTCTTTTATTATTTTTTTAATATCACCAGGGTGCTTCACTTTTCCTAAACATACTCGTAAGATACTTTTGAACAAGTCACCATTTCTGTCATAGTATTATACTTATGAGTTTGGTGACTGCAGTTTTTGCAGTATATGAAGCCAACCAATAATTCTATCCTTGGTTAAAAAGGAGTGCTGATGAAAAATCAGAGTAGATTATTATCCATTGTTTGTTGGGATAAATCTGCTCTTCTTGTCCTTGTGTCAATATTTTGTAATTTATCTTAATTGAATCATGTGTACATATAACTTTGTTGGTTGATTTTCTGTTACCTTGTCTGGCATCTTAGTATTTTATGTGCTATTTATTTTAAATACCTGCTTAGAAACATTTTTTCTTGATTAATTATCCATCATTTTGATTGATTGGTTCGGGCATGAAACTCTTTCTGATGAATTGCAAAATCGTAAATAAATGCATAGTGTTATTCAAAGGAAATTTCAGTAAAATACACACTGAATGATTGGTTGTAGATTACTACTGTTGATGAGGCGAAGCAATTCTATCCATTATTTGGACTCGGGGCAAATGTTGCTCTTGTATTCTCAGGTCGAACTGTTAAATACTTTTCACATCTGCGCAAGAATCTGGGTCCTGGTGTCGATGGTTGGGCCCTCTCTCTCAAAGGGATGATGGGCATTGTTGTGTTGCTTGGGCTCGTGATATGTGCAATCTACTGGGCAGTGAATAAGTATGTTGTGAATGACCCCACTCTTCCCAAGGTAGAAGGTCGGAAGAAGAAGGTAAGCCAGTTTGAGCTCCCTTTCTAACTTGGTACGGTATTTATCTTTGGAATTGTATACAATGAGACCTTTACCTATTGTACAAGAAGGTCCTTATAACATCCGATGTGAAATTTGATAGCTAGAGTGTGTCATGAAGTTCGAGAAAATTTCTTTTGAACTTTGTGCTTGGTCAATGGAATAAATGCAACCACCCAATTTCATATCCAAAGGTCGAGGTTAATTGTGACCACCTTGTACAAAAGGTAAATGGTCTCATTGTATACTTTTCCTTTATTGTTTTCTCTCTTCCTTATGCGGACTCATACCTTGCATTTCTGCAGGACCTACCCAAGATGGGAATGATGGAAAGTATGAAGTTTCTTTTATCTTCAAGGTATGTGAGGGACCTTGCAACTTTAGTGGTTGCCTATGGAATCAGTATCAACCTTGTTGAAGTTACTTGGAAATCCAAGCTGAAAGCTCAGGTGAATAACAATCGAGTTCTTTTATGGATAATAATTTAGTCTAAGGGTTACGCCAAGTATGTTTTCTTCTACGACGGTTTGTTTGATTGCTTACTAAATATAATGCATATCTCTTATCCCTTAAGATCACATATTTTTTCTTTGTGATGGTAGTTTCCAAGCCCAAATGAATACTCTGCATTCATGGGTGATTTCTCAACCCTTACCGGAATTGTGACATTCACCATGATGTTGCTCAGTCGGGTCATATTTCGCAAATACGGATGGGGTGTCGCGGCGGCAATCACGCCTTCAGTTTTACTTGCTACTGGAGTTGGATTTTTCTCCCTTGTTTTATTCAGTGATCCCCTCACTCCAATACTGGGAAAGCTTGGGTTAACTCCACTTCTTGCAGCAGTTTATGTTGGAGCTCTACAAAACATTTTCAGTAAGAGTGCCAAGTACAGCTTATTTGATCCTTGCAAGGAGATGGCTTACATCCCCTTGGATGAAAATACTAAGGTATGGCTGCTCGTAATTATAAAATGCTCTTGAATATTTGCATCTTTTAGCTTTTATAATTACAAATGAATGGCAACTGATTTAAATTACTTGTATCCTTTCGGCCCAACATTTTTCTAGTTTAACTGCATCTCAGTTCAAACGGTCAATTGTCTTTATTTACCTTGCTTCTATTTTCACACACTGTTACCTGCATAAACTTTACCTTCCTTACTTCTGATATTGACATCATCTGATTACTTTCTTAATTTTTGTTCTTAGATAAATACGCTATAGAGTATGTATGCCTATCTCTCTTGTAAATGAGCCTTTCATTGGCCTCCTCCATCTCTCACACAAAAACCAATACGCGCATGCGAGCACAAATACAAGCCCCATCTGTGTAAGATGCAAGCACGAATGCAGTGCACATTACTTGTATTTCTTCACTCTCACAAATGGAAATACATCCCCTTGTGTACTTATCTTTTATTCCTGCACCTACTTGCGCAAAATTATGCAGATCTTTATCTTTGATCGTTTAAGGCTTCTTTCTCAGTCGTCTATTTGCACGTGTAAGGATGTGATGGTGATTCTGTACCTTTGTTATGCTTTTTTAGCAGTTATTTGTTAAGACTTTTACATTTTTGCATTTCATTAAAAAATTGACTTTCTAAAGGTTGATATGCCCAGTTCTAATACTTACTGCCCTTACGGAATTTACATTTCCAAAGTTCACACACTGCAGTAGACTCTCTTATAATTTATATTCTTGGTGCAGATGAGTTTTATGAATTATTAGAAGTTCTAACTTAAGAGATTATATCTAAAGGTTGATATGCCCAGTTCTAATACTTACTGCCCGTACGGAATTTACATTTCCAAAGTTCACACACTGCAGTAGACTCTCTTATAATTTATATTCTTGGTGCAGATGAGTTTTATGAATTAGTAGAAGTTCTAACTTAAGAGGTTCTTTCTATAATCTTATCTTTCTAATAATCAATTCTCCAAGGGAGTCAATTGTAAATATAAAATACTGAGTTTTATGGTACTTAGTCTGCATTTTCGTTAAATAAAAAGTAAATTATATGTGTCAATAAAATATGAGAATCTGCTGTATATATCTTATACATGATGCTTCTATGGTGTTTCTCGCGTGTATGTGGTAGGGCATGTCTGCTCCTGCATTTGTTTGTTTTAAGTGAAGATGATCTAATCAATATAAACTATTGTGTTTATAACTTCATATTAATGAAAACAGGTCAAAGGAAAAGCTGCGATTGATGTGGTTTGCAATCCTCTAGGGAAGTCTGGGGGTGCTTTAATCCAACAATTTCTCATTTTAACATGTGGGTCACTGGCTAACTCAACGCCCTACCTTGGAGTCATGCTACTGGCTATAACTTTGGCCTGGTTAGGTGCTGCAAGGTCTTTGGATAAACAATTTACTCCCATGGTTAAAGAGGACCTCAAAGATAAACTCATAAAGGGCAAAATTTCTGCTGCTTCTCTAAGTCTCACTAGTAAGGTGCAACCAAAACATGGAATCACATACAGGTTTGTGAGTACTTTGAACTCAAAGGGATTTATTGAAGGAAGATATGTGCCCTTGGTTGAGGTTGTTTCCTCAAGTGGTCAGCGAGAACAACTTACAGTCAGGGAGTTAGAGCTAGCCAAGGCAGAGAGAGAAACTGTTAGCCAATCTGGGTCAGCTTTGGAAAATGGTGGTGGGTTGGAGAGGGAAACAGTTGGTGTTAATGAGGAAGCACCAAAAGGCAGTGGGGTCGAGAAAGAAACACTCAGCGCAAAAGAGGAAATACCTTTTGATTCTTCTCAGGAAAATGGCGGTGGGTCATCATCAAAGGGATCTCAAACTTAGAATGGATCAGCGTGAAACCATTATCTGAAGATGAAGAAAAGTGGGTTTCGAAGTAAAGCCATTTCTTATCTACCATAAGACTTGAATAGCTTATCACCAAAGAAGCTTCATCAGATAATGGTGCTATATCAATAATGACGATAATGGTAAATTGGCAACAAAGATGGGAAATGTGATGCTGATTATCTTGATGGTGCACTTTGGAAACCAGAGACTAGTCGTTCTGAGCTTAAACTGATACTAATCTTTTGAGGAATATGGTTTTCTGCAGAATTTAGTCCAACTAAGAATGTGCTGTCACATCTTTTTGCGGTTAAGAATAAGCCTTCGAAAAGTGGACTTTGCGAGTGTGGAGTTTTTTGGTGCTTCTGTTACGGTGAGATTTTCTTCTACTATAAGACATTGCCTCTCTAATCGGTGTGATATTGGGTGGTCTTATGGTTTTGGTTTTCCTTGAATTTCAATTCTAAATAATGTGATGACTTTTTGGCCCTTGTGACATTCTCTCCCAATCTCTTGAGTCCCGATGGAATCGAGAGGCGACACCACTGGTTTATTATAGAAGCCAGGTTTGGAATTCCTTTTTACCAACATTTATTCTCAAATCAAAACTATCGTTATTAGCAATTCGTTATGCTTCTTTTTACCCCTAACCTACATGTCTCTTCAAATAATTATTTCTATCTTCGACGTTGCTTCGTGCTTGGGTGCCACCCATTTCTTATTTTGTTTTGTGTTTTTCTCAGTTACAAGCAATGCTACATCACTATTGAACTCCCTAAACAAGAAAGAGTTTCTAATAAGAATAGAGAGAGAGTGGGCATGGTACTTGCATCGTGTCGTTGCCAATTAAATTTCAAGCTTCCCTGACACAGTCGAGTTGGTGACACTGTACAGTAGGTCAAATTTCAATAAAGTTTCTTTAAGATGAGAGTGTGCGTATACTATACTCCCACGAGGCTACATCACTTGGTGGTGTATACCCTTAATGTCCTCAACATTTGGAAACTTTTGACCTGTAGTGTGGTAATTTTTTGTTTAGGGGTATTGTAAGTAATTAATCAAGGGTGAAGTAAAAATTCTTAATAGAAACAAATGTATTTATTAATAATAATGGATGATGACATCACTTAGATAGTGTGAGATATTACCCACAAGATACATTAATTGTCTTTTAATTAGTGATAGAACGTTGTTATTTTTTTATAGAAATATTCATTCTACCTATCTAAATGATAAAAAAATGTTCTTATTAAAAAAAATTTGTATTACAATTCAAGGGTATTTAAGTATTCAAAATTATTTACGACTTTAAAAGTATACACCATCAAGTAGTGTAGTCTAACAAAACCTTTTAAAATTTTAAGAACCACCTAAGAATTAGTATTATTGGGTGATTATTCTCAAAAGGACCAAAAAAAAAAGATTTTGAGCTTTTTAATACTTACATCTCATCCTTTAAAAAAAATTGTTTCTATTCAAGTTTGAAACATTATCCTTTTCAACTGCTTTGAGGACAATCAGGATTTTTTTATTTTATTTTTTAATTGAGGGTAAAGAAGTTATGTCCTATTAAAAAAACTATAGGGGAAGAGGGTACAGCCCCAAAATTTAGGGTCCTAAAATTAACTGCGCATGGGTTTTTAACTCAAGGGACTAAATGGATAGCATACATGAGTATAGTATCTTTTAAATCTTCCATGGTAGGAGTGATACGTGATTAGATCCTCGCCATCCATGCTATGGACAGATTATCATCCCCAACCATCGAAAATTGTGGCAGACATGTTGCTTCCTCTCGCTTTGATGCCCCCACCAAATCATTTACTTGGGTAATGACACTTTTGAGAACGGATTATAAGAACAAATCTATAAGGCATAGCATTCCATCTATGGTTCAAATTACAACACGAAGGTTTGGTGCCACTTATGCATGTATCGCTATTGTAATCGCTAAAACTGTTTAATACAGAAAAAAAAAAGAAAATTTTGAAGTAGAACTTTGTTTTATGGGTTATGTTTGTAAATATCAAATAGAAAGGATATCTGAATAAATATAATATTCTGCCAATTTTTATTTATTAATACATTCAAATAAAGGCGCGGTTTCTATAAGGTTGTAACTTTAAACAATCCAATTAAAGTGCACCTCGAAATTTTATCATACCAGCAAAAAGGGCTCTTTACAACGTACTTGGTTTGGTTGGGCTTCGACGTTGCGCTAACGAATGAATTCGTTGCGGCTTTGCTCGTTGTATCAAAGTAGCACTCTATTGGGCAGTATTAAAAAGCCCTCAAGAGGGCTTTGACAAGACTTAGCTAACGACTGAACTCGCTGGGGCTCGTTGGTTACAAAGTAAATCGCTGATGAGGGATTTGCTAAGTAATTTTGGTGTAAAAAATTCTTAGGATTATCTAAAAATCTAATTTTATATTTAGTTATAAAGTTTTAAACTCAAAAAATGATTAAAGTCAAGTAAATCTATAAATATATGAAAATCTTGAAAATAGATGGTCTGGATTAATCATTGCAAGATGCACTATTTCTAAAACTCAAATTTGTTTTATTATTATTATTTTGTTTATATATCTCGATGTCGAGATGATCATTTATAGGGCTTTTCAACATTAAAACAACATTTTTCGGTGGATTTTTTAAGTGCATCTTTATTCCAACTTTTTGGGATCGTATTTTGCCATTTTGCTCTATCAAGATCATACTATCAATAAGATAATAAGTCACCATCTTTGTTCTCACTATTTCTATCTATGTCCTTTGAGGCCTTTCTCTTGTCGTTAGCCTTCTACTTGAACCAAATCACCCCTCTTAATTGAAGTTATATTAGATCTACGTCCATCTAAGTTTTCTTTCCCTCATCTATCGCCTATTGGAGCCAACTTTAAGTTCCCTGGTATCGATTCATTCTTAATTCTATTTTTATATTTGTAGTTTTAGGAAAGAAGGGGGGAATGTTCTTTCTTTTCAAATATCGAGACTAAAATACGGGCTGCTATGGGAAGAAGGGGAATTGTTCTCTTTTCAAATCTCTAGAGTGAAATATTGGCCACTATGTAATTGCCACTGTAAAGCTCAAAATTGCCAATATTTGATCATAATGGAATCTAACTTTGCAAGGTACACCTCCTCAGGAGCATATTCGAAGGTGGGCAACCCGGCAAGATCTAAAACTAAAGAAGGGCCGCTTGATCCAATAAGGCTAGACCCCAAAGATTTTATATTCAAGCGGCAGTATACCAGCCATTTACTCCCTCAAGTAAAATTTGATATTTTAAGATCTCAAATTTTGGGGATGTTGTCTCCTCAAGTGACATCTGTTTTAAAAAAAAACAAAATCTGAATTGAACTCTTTATGTAAATGAAAAAAATATTAATATTAAGATTGAATAGAGACCATCGAATTTTTGAAAGGAGAGATCTAAAATAAAAAAACACAAAATTCAAATATTTTTGTTAAAAAATAATCATCTAATGAGTCTTAGGTGGTTCCCAAAATTTCAGGCTTAAAAAATCCTCCAAGTAGGTATTTATACATGCACGGTATGCTCCCGTGGGAGCACGGTATACATGTTCTAATGTAGATCTCCGAATCATGCAATTTATACCATGTCTATGTCTATAAAACCGGCACTCCCTCCCCCCCCCCCCCCCGATCCCTGATCAAATGAATCTATCTCTATACGCCGGTAAGCAAATAATTTCTTTCTCTTAAGAACCAATCACTTCTCCTACATTAAAAAGCGCTACAATTTCTTAGAGAAAAATAAGTTTTATCGTTACACGTCTCTCTCTATTCTCTAAACCGTAAGAGAGTGCTATTGGTTGGTTGGCTGCCGTCAAGAGAGAGCGTGGGCCTAAGGGCATCCAGATATTTCAGGCCATCGAAACGCTCATTGATGCGGGAACCTGTACCAGGGTCCCCCTGATTATCCAAGGGTACCTCCTTTCGAACCTCCAATAAATCGAAAATCCACAGTAACATCACATCCCCTAAAAGATTCAAAGCATTTTACCTTTGGAACCTCGGATAAATCAAAAACCCACAGTAACAACACCGCATCCCTCAAAAACTCAAAGCATTTTCGTAAACTCAGCAGTACAACAAAATCCTGATTATATTTTTTAGTATTATTCCCCCTCCTAATAATATTAGTAACAACGAAAAGAGAGTGGATTCTACAAATAAATAACCCCTTGGATAAATTAAAACAACTCATGGATATACATAAGGGGCCCTACTTAGACTCGATTGTAGGCCACTGACTTGTTGAAGAGGCGACGAATGTAATAGATTTGCAAACCACTTGCTGCCAACAAAGCCGCATACTCTCCAAGAGTGTAGAAGATGAGCCTTCTATGGGTGCTCTCATTTGCTGCATCCAAACAACAAATACGCAGTGCAAAGTGTGAAAAATATGATATGATGATTTATATGGAAAACATAGATCGTAGAATTTTTTCATATACTAGGTTTAATATTTTGACATTTTTTGGAAATTATAGTTTTACATGTATTACCACAACCACCCAAATATTATAAAGGATTGTATACAATGAGACCATTCACCTTTGGTACAAAGAGGTCACAATTACTTATAACCTTCCGATATAAAATTTGACGGCTTTGTTGTGTAAAAAATTCGAAAAAATTTCTTTTGAACTTTAAGCTTTGTTAATAGAATAAATGCGGCCACCCAATTTCACATCCAATGGTCAAGATTAATTGTGACCACCTTGTATCAAAGTAAATAGTCTCATTGTATACTTTTCTCTATTATGAATATAGGGGAAGATACAATCCATCAATTGGACCATGTCATATAGTCCTCCGAAGCTAAATTTTCCATCGACCACAACTGATAGATGGTTGAGATTAACCGAAATGAGGCCCACAAGATTGTCCATCCATTGGCAGTTGTGGACTGTGGATATAGCTTGAAGAACTGTATACCATAGTCCATCAACCTATGCTATACTTCTCCTAATTTACAATATTGGTATGGGCGTGTTAATATATGCAACTTCCATTTACTGACTGTTGTAGAACTGTGCTAAATTATAAAGAAGGGGAGTGATCCTCTAGAAATTACTTGAATCCCTATCCACATCTCAGGAATGGATACAGATCGACGGTTGTGAACTTTCTCCTACATCAAAATCGGTAGGCACCATTTATAAGGGAATTATGATAAAATCTTAGTTATTTTTCCTCTTTTTGGGATGCTCTATATTTGTATTAAGCTTTAGTTACCAAGCTTTAGTTTTTTAACATATCATTTTCTTGGGTTAGACAGATATCTTCTTTAGTTTAAGCAGTCACACTAATTAGTTCTTCAAATGAACACAATTATCTGTCAATAAGAAAACACTCAACCTAGATCTCTAAGTCATTTCTCATGAAGAAAACCTGCACTAGTCTTCTAACGTTTCATATTCGATGCAACTAGAGGATTAAAGGCAAAGCAAACTAAAGACATAGAGGAGGTAGCTCACTGTGCCGATGGCGAGCATCACGTGCTTTCAGGTACCGTTGCTCGGCCGTAACAGACTCCAATGCCTCACGAAGCTGCGCAATTTTCACGTTCACGGGGTTCAAATGCTCTGGTAAAGAATAGAACATCCAAGGGTTCAATGTATTGGAAAAAACAATTCAATGTAATGGAAAAAACAATGATTCATTTCCAATTCAATATAGGCAAACACATTGAAAACATGACTCGCTTTTTATATATCAATACTTTGAGAAAATGATCTCTCCATTCCATCATTCTCATAAACATGACTGATATCATTTGTTAGCTTAAAAGGAAGAAAAAACCTAATCTCTCTCTCCCCTCCTCTCTCCATTTCTGTACAAAGAAAATTTGTATATGGGCAACTTTGAATCAATGACCTCCCTCATACAAACCAGGTGTCATAACTGGGCTTAAAGGCCATAAGAGCCATGCTACACAGCAATTCACAAGAACTCATGGACGTCCGAGGTAAGGCAAAGATGCCCAAATGCTAGTGCAGTATTGAAAAGCTCGCACAAACACATGAAAGAGAGAAAGAGAGAGAGAGAGAGAGAGAGAGAGAGAGAGAGATCATTGTCGGGGAATGGGCAATGCTTAAGCCACTCCAACTAAGACAACAGAGAAATGAGAAGAAAGTGACTAAGAAAAGAGAGATAGAATTACTAAACTTACCATCTTTGGCAAGATCATGCTCATTAGGGATGTGACCCACATGTATGTAGAACGACACAGTCTCAGGTGTTGAATACGAATTGTGAAAGCAGAATTTGTACATCCCACTTCTTGGGGCCTTAAATCCAAACTTATCCCCTGATGTCCCTTTCAAAGTGTACACCACATTACCTGCAGGAGCCGTAACCTGCAGAGATTTGAAGCAAAAACAACGATTGATATCCCAAATTTCCAAGTGTAATTGAGAGGAAGAGAACAGAAAAGAAAAAAGAATGGCAAAAGTGTAATTGTTATAAATTTGTGCTGCTTCATTTCCCATGAAAACAGTATTGTTTTTATCATCATCATTGTCACATGATGGGAAAATAATTGACCTGACTCAGTTGGTTGGATTACAAAAATAGAGATGCATGCATATTTTCCTGAATTTAGTTTCCAAACAATGGAGTCAACATAAGTTTGCATACATTAAGTCTAAAATAATTGGAAAAATTAATTGCATTTTTAAGGACATCTAAAATTCATTTTCTTCCACGTATAAAAAGGATACCAAGTATTCCACAAAAGAAGCATTCTAATAAAGTCAAACCCTTTCTAAGTACAGGCTGATGCAGAACATAAAATAGAACATAATCGGCAACCATTACTCTTACATTCAAAAAAAGCTACGAGGGAGAATTACTTGAAGAGGCTACGAGGAGAGAGATGAGAGGTAGATGCGATGTGGCCAGAGAGCTGAGAACCAAGAGTGAACTACATCCTCTATGTCCACTCTCGCCCTTACTTTTACTGCCCACGAACAAAATTGGCAACCGTTACTCTTACATTCAAAGAAAGGTATGAAGGAGAATTACTTGAAGAGGCTATGAGGAGAGAGATGAAAGGTAGATGTAATGCGGCCAGAGAGTGAGGCCAGAGAGCTAAGAACTAAGAGTGAACCACATCCTCTATGTCCGCTGGCTGGCCCTCCCTCCTATCATTCTAGTACCATTGGCAGACCAATTTTACCCATATACTTTCCTGCAGCCCATACAACCATATCTCTTACTCATTTTGATGAGCTGCACATGCCACTTTGCTTCCTTGTCAACCATGCCTTCCCCCTCATTCCTTCCCTGTACTTGGACACATGCAACAACACCCACCTACAACCCATACCCAACCCACACTGCCATGATGCCCTTGATGTCATATTCTAAGATGATCCCACCAACAGCCACAAGATTCCATGCTCACCAAACACAAATCAAAAGCACCTTCTCATGGGCAATTTATCATCATAAGATGGGAGAACAATATCTCAAAGAGATTATCCTTGTTGCAAGCTTCACCTGTGGGATTTTTTAATCCTCCAAGACATGACACAAAGGGCATAAAGCCCTGAGCCTCAAGTTATTGGAACATATCCTCATCTCTATCATGCAAACTCTTGGACGGGGAGAAAATCCAATTCTCTTTCATCTCAAGATGAACCTCACCATTGATTCAAAAAGTGATCTGCCCAGTGCCTAGGGGGGCTAGGGGGGCCTGGGTGCATCGTCTAGGCCTGGGGGGACCAACTAGGCAGGCGTTCGCCTAGTACCCCACCTAGGGTACCTCGGCAGGTGCCCAGGGGACTGCACCTACCTAGGTGCAAAAATACCCATCAGGTGGGGTATTTCTACGGGTTTTGTTTGTTTGGATTATAAAAAATGCATGAATATCCATTTTCAATACAAAATCTAGACCTAAAACAGGAATACTGGAAACCCCTTGCCCCTTTTTGAACCTAGGCCGCCCGAGTTCTAGGCGGCCGCCTAGGCATTGGGTGCTCCCCAACACAAACCTTGGGCTCCATCAATTGGATCCAAAACATTAGAGCAAGCAAGGACTCTGTCTCAAGGAATTCCACTCCAAAGGGATGAACCACGTCAGATGCCATTGATGTCATGTCCTAGAGGATTAAGAATCCTATCACTGAATCTCGCCACTAGGATAATCTCCTTGAGATAATGTTTTCCCCTACTTTGATGGCAAAACATCTATTTGAAAAGGTGCTTTTGATTTGTGGTTGATGGGAAAGAGGCCTTTTATGGCAGACTAGCAGCTCACTGGGTGTGTGGATTGGGTACGGGTTTTAGATGCATTTTGTGACATGTGACTTGGTACATGGAAGGAATGAGAGGGAGGCTGTCGGCGTAGTTGAGGAGGGAGCAGAATGGCATGGGTAAGTATTCAATTCGGTGTTCAAATATAACATCACAACATGTTATACATGTTTAGAATTCTAAACAATTGAAGTGCACCTCCACAAATAACTATTGTGATTCTAAACTATTGGACTGCAATCTGTTCTAAACCATTCATGTTTGTTAACTTGAGCAATCTGACACAAATCGACTAAGCAAAAAAGTGATTCATCCCATAGTTAGAGAGGATATCATATCTTTTGTATCCATAAAGCAGATCCTATTGCCATGGGAATTTTGCCAAAGAACCCACAAGTGTCCTTTATTTCAAGGGGAAGAATAGTGAAAGATGCGACATGAAAAAGGATGCGGAAGTGACAACAACCAATCAATGCATCATGAGCATTAATAATGACGGCCTTAAGTACGAGGGAGAAGTTTAGTTTGTTTCGTGGGTACGACCAATCTATCAACATGGAACATCCTTGATGCTTATGGGCCTCATCAAGGATATGAGGAATAGTCATGGAATGAGATGAACTTTTACCAGGTGCCGCTCGAATGGACCTTGGCGTGTAAAGAGTTTTATGTAATGTCACCATAATCCCCCATAACAAGAAAGGGGAAGGGCAGTCAAGATTACCACAACACATGGTTTTCAATTTTAATTGATTAAAGTAGGCTAATTGAGTTGAGAACAGGCTCTAGGAAAAGGTGGTCAAGGCTAATTGAATTTTCATCAAGGTAGTTCTTTACTTCTGAAGTTCTATACTAGTTATATCAAGGACTGATTCCTTTCCTGCTACATGTTACTATGAGATACTTCAAGATGTAAGGTACAAATTTTCCAAAACATATTCCAGACAGTTGGCATCTTCTGAAGATACAGTTTTCAAGGTGGGGGCCTTCACCCTTTAGATATCAATTATATGGGTTTGAAAAGCTGAGATTTTAATCAATATACTTGGTCAAGGAATGGTGGTCCACTTGTTTGGAAGGTTGCTTTTTAGAAATGAAGCATCTCAAAGTTGAGCACAATTCCCCGTCTTCTCATTTTCTATTTTGAGATAATGGTCACATTGAGAGAACCATCTTCCCATTCTCCTCCATTTTCCCATATTAATCTATCTTTATCTGAACCCTTGTCCACCATCAATAAAAAATGCAAATTACCTAATATCCTTAACTTGTGGTGCGAAGCAATCTTTGAAGTTTCAATGATTTACTAAACAAATTAGGATAATAATAGCTTCTATGCTCTTATTTTGTGGTATGATTATAATCGGGAATGATTCAATCTAGATAATAGCCTCATATTTGAAAACCCAAGTGATTTCTTTCTTAACTTTCAAATCATCTATTAGTTCCTTATGTCAAAGGAATCAGCAATATTGCACCTTTAATTTCTACTTTCCTTTCCAAATTGACTTCTTGTTTCTCAAGTTTCTACTCAATCTGAATGCACAGTTCAAATTCTCTTACCTTCCATAGAAATTTAAGAGTGAAAAGATCAATTAAATAAAAAGCCATAAAACTCGTCCTCCCCTTAAACTCCCATTTTCTCACTTCAGATCTATCGATTCTTCACATAATATGTATCAAAATCTTTCACTCAGGTGCATAAATCATCCAAAACACAAAAGATTATTTTTTTCTGCGCTAGAAAAAGATATACCAAACCCAACCCCACTATAAAACAAAACAAAACAATAGGAAAATTAAAGAACTCAAAAGTAGAACCCTAGAATCTACAGAGATTTGTTATGAACGGAAGACATAGGAAATCACTAACCGTGAAATCAATTCCAGGGTGATCGGAGCTCCAGAAGATATCGTGATCCACCACCACGAAGTTCCCTGAAACTGAGTCGCCTTCATAGACCACGTATTCATATACACATTCAACATCGTTGACTGTAACAGAGAGGGCTGAGACATGGTTGAAGAAACTCGAAAGAAACCCTAGAAAAAGAAGAAACCCAAGAAACGAACTGGGTCTTTTGGATCTGCATCTTTCGCTCCTGGAACCCATCGATTCCTCACCTATTACGCTCTCTCCGTGGGAAAATTTGAAGATGCGACTTCACAGAGATAATTTAGAGCGAGAGTTGTTACGGGTAGTCTTGGACAATGTTCCGATCTCTGTGAATTTATGACATGGAAATAAGCCTATGGTGCATATGATCACATGTACTAGGGGCTCATAAAAATGATCACCCTTTAATTTGATCTATCTACGGTAATAGGGGGCGTGTGGACGTGGGATCGAGTGGAGGGATCGATAAGAGCTATGATCTATGGGAAAAGTTTATATAGAGCCGAGGCTCTAAACAATCAAATTAGAGCTTACCTCAAAATTTTTATTAGAATAAATTGTTTTGATGCCCAAATATCCTCAAAAACATCATCTCGATCTCAAAATGCGAGCTTACCTCAAAATTTTTACTATAAGAAGTTATTTTGATGCCTAAATATCCTCAAAAACATCATCTCGATATCAAGATGCATGGACATGAGAAAAAAAAATGGATTACAAGTCTTGAAACTAGTGCATCTTGTAACATATTTTTGGACTGTCAATTTTCAAGATTTTCATAAATCGTCTTGATCTACACTATTTTTTATGCTTTAAATTTTATAATTTTTTATTGTTTAGAGCCTCGGCTATATACAAACCGCAACCATTATCTATACAGCAAAACAACCTTCTGGAAAATTGTTTCATGTGGTGGAGACCGCATTTCTACAGTTGCGGTCCCTGAGGTATAAGCATCAACTTTAAAGATAGATGCAAATAGGTGGGCCATCTAAAAACAATTGAAACTAATAGTCCACATGTTTTCTTAATAGAATTATTATTTTTAATTTTTCAATTTTTTCATATTCATAATCTCTATATTAGAGATTACGTCTCCTTTCAAATTAGGTAAAAAAATCCGTCTAAACAATAAAATTTTAAGACGTGACTCATTTCTATATGGACTCATAGAAACCGTGTCCCAACCTTTTAATGTACACCCTAATTTTACATTTTAATATGTCAATTTTGTATAAACTTTTTCCACAATCATGACTTGAAAAGTTTAAATGATTATAATTGCAAAATGTTAAATAGTTCTTATGGACATCTTGATGAATTTCCCTTGAATCAATGTCATGTTTGAGGGTTCTCATACTTTATCCAATGCATGCAATCCGTTGATTTTACGGAACATAATGAGCAAATATTTTTTGGGGTCATCTAAATCACAATATGCATTTTAATACTCCCTGTGATGCTGAGGAGACTACATCTGTTTATTTAGTCATGCCCTTACCTATTTTAAAATGGGCGAGGTTTGTACATTTTGCCCTTCTTATAATGTAGAATCAAGGCATACTTTAAGTTTTTTTTTTAAATTGTAGTTCGAATGTCGAAAACTTTATAATAATTTGAAAATATGTTTTAATTATTAAAAAAATAAAAAATATTACAAATCAAACAGATCTATCAATACTTTGAAAATATTTTAAAATAAACATTCCAGATAAATGGTTAAAAGTAGTATTATTTGTAGGTCTTGAAATTCACTTATCTATATATATTTAGGGGTTGAGATGATCAATTTGAGGGTTATCCAACATCGGAACACTCTCTCCTAAATAATTTTTTACATGTACCTTACTCCAATAGTATAAGGTTGCAACGTTATATAAACCTTTTCTTTTAGAAACCTTTACATATTTTAAAGGGTGCAATCTGCAACTTTATTTGTAGCAGTAAGCTTGCAATGTTATGCACTATGTATTTTGATTGGATAGTATAGATTTAACATGTTTTTCAAGGCAATAAAAAAGTGGCACATCATTTAAGATTGTCAAATCTACACTTTTAAAATAAAATGAACGGTTTAAATTAAGGAAAAATTTTCATGCGGCCAGGACTGTATTTCTACAATATACAGTCTAGAGGTGTCCATTTTAAAGAAGGATGCAAATAGGTGGTCTATCTAAAACCAAGTATAACTAACAGTTCAAATATTTTATATATATATAAATATTATTTTTAGTTTTTAATTTTTTTTATTTTCTCATATTCATGATCTCCATGTTAAAGATTATATATTCTCTAAATATTATGATCAAATTATATTTAAAAAAATATTTATTGTCAAGCCTGTATTTACACAACATGTGGGCTGACCACGTAGAAACTTGATCCTTAGATTAATGCAACCTTACTTCTAATTGTAACTTAATGCAACCTTACTTCTAATTGTAACTTTTCCCTATTTTAAAACTGACCTGGACTGTTTATCGTTGCAACGTTATCTCGTCCATCTCTCTCTCACGCCCTTTATGTCCTCACTTTTTTTTATATCGATTTTTTACAAACTTCATTATCCTTTCAGACAGACGTGTTTAATGGTTAAAGTTTAAGAAACGAGTATGGTTTGTATAATTTGTCGACCTTATACTATAGAGCAAGATATACCTAAATATTTATTGACAACTTGCGACCAAAAGCATCAACATGATACCAAGCCCCGAGCAGAGATCAAATGAACTTGTTATTTTCTGAGGGCTTATCACGAGACAAGCCCTGAGAAGAGATCAAATGCACATTTGACTTGGCATGAGGTGTCAACCTTATCACTAATAAGGTGCCAATGAGTCATGGCATAAAATTATTGCTCAATGACTTTATTGCATCATCACAATAAAATCATTACAATGCATGTTTCCCAAGATGACTATATTTCATGTTATTCATACATACTTTATTTTTCACAACACTTCTTAGCTAAATATGAAACATTAATGACTTTTTCAATTACCTATTTTTTTTATAAATTTATAGTTTTCCCTCCAATTTTTTATGATCAAAACTCATTTGCTTATCAATTGGCGCATTTTACCAATGGTCTCAAGCCATATCCCCCATTTTTTAATTTGTTTAAATTTATTGTTCTCACTAACCCAAAAAAAATTTATATTTCACCAATTCTTTGTAAATTTAATGTTCCGTTATGAACTTTTGAGTTCATATAATGTTGCAATCTTACAAAAGTAAGGTTGTTATGCACAACTTCTATTTTATTTCGGCCGTATGGATTTCGAACTATTTCAAAAGACATGCCATGACACTATCTTAAATTATATGTCAAATCTATATTGTCTTATCAAAATAATCTACTATATTAAACTATATGTCAAATCTATATAGTCTTATCAAAATAAACATAGTAGATTATTACAATATTATTTATACAAAATAAGATATAACCCGGACAATTAATAGGACTAAGGCCCCTCCACAAGGATGACGCACGTAAATCTAAATCGAGAAATGATACTAATTTCTTTAAGAATAGGCTTGGGTTTATGTGGTTTGCAAGTTCGATTCTAACCACCGAATTACCCAAAAAAGAAAAAATTATCTTTTTGTCGTCCCACTTGCATCTGAATCTGAATAGAAGTTTTACTCTCGAATCTCGACTTGCATAGCAGTTTTACTCTCGAAATCTGGACGATTCATAATTTTGTATTCAAATTCAAATTCTCTCTCTAAGGTCTAAATTCTAAACGATGAGAGAGAAACAGACGCTGATGATTATGGGTTGGAGGCCCACCTGGCCTGAGATATGAACAGGAAATCTTGGGCCTTCTATTTCAACAATTTGCTATCATTTTCCAATGCAAATGTGCCTCTCCTTCCTTTCAATGCCACAATGAACAATTCACTCCGCTATTCCACCACTCTCTTGGAGCCCCTGAAAATTCCACCCCTCCATGTCTCTTCTCTCTCACCTGAAACACTTAAAACCAACAACTCTCTCCAATTAAAACTACCCATTAATGAATTAAGGTTAAGAGAGAGCATTCAGCCATTCCACCAAGGTCTCATCCCCTTAACCTCTGATTCATATTCAACCATTATTGAGTTTTGTGCTGATGCCAAGTCCATAACCTTGGGCAAACAGATTCATGCGCGTTTAATCTCTTCTCATGGCTTGTCTCATGCTCATGACCCCTTTTTGTGCACGAAAATTCTATTTATGTATGCGAAATGTGGGTGCATCGTAGAAGCTCGCAAGCTATTTGATTTAATGCCTGAGAAAACCACTTTCATATGGAATGCATTGATTGGGGGTTATGCCTCTTTAGGGCAGGGTCACGAAGCTGTCGAATTGTTCCTTGATGCATGGGTTATGGGGGGATCAATTGACTCATTTACATTTCCTTGTGTTCTTAAGGCCTGTGGTTACTTAAAGGCTTTAGACATGGGAGAGGAGATCCATGGTTTGCTAATTAAGAGTGGATACCTTTCATTCACCTCTATTCTCAATGCTCTTATGGCCATGTATGCAAAATGTGGAGAGTTGTGCAGTGCAGACAAGGTTTTTAGAGAGATGTATGAATGCAAAGATGTTGTCTCATGGAACACTATTATTTCATCATATTCCCGAAAGGGGTACTCTTATGAAGCACTTGAGATTTTTAGAGAGATGAATAGAGAAGGTGTCGGAATAAACTCATTTACAGTAGTGAGCATTCTTCAGGCTTGTTCAACTGAGTCATTTTTGAAGTTGGGCATGGAAATCCATGCTGCGATGCTGAAGAAATGGGGGGAGGAGCTCGGTTTTCATGAAGCCAATTCACTCCTGGTTATGTACGCTAGATCAAATCTCATTAAAATTGCAGCCAAGGTTTTTTACAGGATGAAGAATAGAGATAAAGTATCATGGAATTCTATGCTTTGTGCTTATGTTCAGAGTGGGGGTTACAGTGAAGCTCTCAGATTCTTTCAAGAATTGCAGCATGCCAGTCAAAAACCAGACTTGGTCTCCATTATAACGATTGGTTCTGCTGCTTCTCGGTTGGGAAACCTAAGGCAAGTAAAAGAGATCCATTGTTATGCTTTGAAAAATGGCTTCAATGGGGATTTGGAGGCTGGAAACAGCCTCTTAGACATGTACTCAAAGTGTGGTAAAATGGACAACGCCAACCGTGTCTTCGAGAAAATGCCCACCAAAGATGTAATATCTTGGACAGCCATGATTTCAGGATATGCTCAGAATTCTATGCATCTAAAAGCCTTGGAATTCTTCGAAGAAGCTCAATCGGAGGGGATACCCATTGATTCTATGATAATTGGGAGCCTTCTCCTATCCTGTGGAGGCTTGGAGTCCATTTCCTACACCAAACAGGTCCACAGTTACGTAATTCGGCATTTTTTGCTTGACCGTGTTTTGGAGAACTCGATCGTGGATGCATATGGTGAATGCGGGTGCATGGATTATGCAATTTGTGTGTTTAAAATGTTTGTTAGAAAGGATTTGGTGACGTGGACAAGTGCTATCTCTGGTTACGTTAAGAACCACCTTCCAAACAAGGGCCTCGAGCTCTTTCGAGCTATGGTATTGGCTGGTCTTGAACCAGACTCAGTGGCCCTGGTGAGTATACTCTCGGCAAGTGCGGATCTCTCTGTGCTCAGGCATGGAAAAGAGGCACATGGCTACTTGATCAGAAAATGGTTTATACTAGATGGGTCATTGAGTAGCTCTTTAATTGATATGTATTCAAGGTGTGGTTCAGTGGGTTGCTCATACAAGGTCTTTGAGGCTATCCAAGAGAAGGACTTGGTCTCATGGACCAGCATGATCACTGCTAATGGAATGCATGGGAGGGGCAAAGAAGCCCTGGAATTGTTTGAGAGGATGCGGAAAATGGGTCCTAGGCCTGACCATATCGCATTTCTCTCTCTTCTCTATGCATGTAGCCACTCAGGCCTGGTGAAAGAAGGAAAAACATACTTAAAAATGATGAAAGATGACTATGGGCTAGACCCATGGCCCGACCATCATGCCTGTATAGTCGATTTACTAGGACGTTCAGATTGCCTAAATGAAGCATATGAATTTGTAATGAACATGCCTATCGAGCCGAATAGCATAGTTTGGTGTTCTCTGCTTGGGGCTTGTCGGGTCCATTCTGATACCAAACTTGGAGAACACATAGCGCAAAACCTTCTAAAGAGTGAACCAGAAAACCCTGGAAACTATGTACTTGTTTCTAATATTTTTGCTTCCTCTGGGAAATGGAGTGATGTTAAAGACGTTAGGGAAATGATGAAAAAGAGGGGATTAAAGAAAAATCCAGGGTGTAGTTGGATTGAGGTGGGGAACATGGTGCACTCTTTCATGTCAGGGGATAAACATCATCCAAAGACAGAGCAGATCTATGAGATGCTTAGAGAAGTTAGAGAGAGCTTGGAAGGAGCTGGATATGTAGCTCAGACCAAATTTGTGCTGCATGATGTAGGAGAAAGAGAGAAGGTGGAGATGTTGCATGGTCATAGTGAGAGAATTGCCATAGCTTTTGGCCTCTTGAGTACTCCAAAGGGGACCACCATTCGTGTAACGAAGAACCTGAGAGTGTGTGGAGATTGTCATAATGCCATCAAACTCGCAGCCAAGATCTTCGGCCGGGAGATTGTTGTCAGAGATTCGAATAGGTTCCATCATTTCAAGGGTGGAGTATGCTCTTGTGGTGACTTTTGGTGAATTTTTGTAGTTTTGGCTTGATATGGTGAATTGTAAATTGTGACTATATCTAGGTTATAGTTCAGCTGTATAAAATTTGTAAATTAGGATGATTTAATGCTTGATTTCACTGTGTGAGCAATGACTCATGAATTATGCAACCCGAGCTACCTCGTGATCCAGGTACGGCGAGGTATAACTATTGGAGGCTAAAATTTGGTAACTTCAACTCCATTAACTGTCATTTGTGAATTGTTTTTTGGTCTTCACCCTTTTATCTCAAGTTTTGTATTGAATAATCCATTGACACAAATAGTTCAGGGCCGAAAATCAAGTTGTTTGGGTCTTGGAATATTGATAGGGTGAACTGCTAGCTTTTGCTTATGTAATATCCATTCTAGTCACTAGGGATATAATTGTCCAACTGACATATAACCGAAAAAATCAATATTGGACTTATCAGTTTGTTTCCTTGTGTTGGACAAGTGATATCCAAAAATCACCCATATAAAAAAATTCGAAATTATGTGGGATTGGGATTTATATCGATAAATTTCCTTATAAAAAAAACAAATCCTAAAAGATTAAGACTATTGGGTACATTTGTTGTTTTTTTTTTTTTGAGATATATGAAGTTTCATATGTTAGTGTGGTTTGGTAACCCTATACATATGGATATGGGATAGGCGAGGAAAGAATAGGTGTGCCCTAATGAGGATGCCATGTAGGAAAGGTGGCTTCCTTTAAAGAGAGACGGGGCCTTCCTCTGGAATGAAATGTTGCAACGTGCCTCTTGCAAAGGCAAAGGTTGGTTTTTGATAGAGAAGCAGTTCTCATGGAGATTGCATATTATAGAGTGTAAAACTGATTTTTTGTAAAGAAGTGGTTCTCATGGAGATTGCAAAGTGAAAGACTGGTTTCTTGTAGAGAAGCTCATGAGATTGTAGAGTAAAAGATTGGTTTCTTGTAGAGAAGCTCATGGAAATTGCACAGTCAAAGGCTGGTTTCTCTACAATTCTCATGGAGACTTCAAGTGGTTTCTCCAAGACTCTATAATTCTCATGGAGACTTTAAGTGGTCTATAGATCTCATGGAGACTTTAAGTGGTTTCTATGTGACTCTACAGTTCTCATGGAGACTTTAAGTGGTTTCTCCGAGACTCTAGAGTTCTCATGGAGACTTTGGTTTATCTGAGACTCTACGATTCTCGTAGAAACTTTTTAGTAGTTTCTCCAAGAGAAAGTATCAATGGGATGGTTGTAAGTAATTGCGACCAAGGTAACGGTCTTATTGTATACAATCTCAAAATGCGGTCTAGCCCACATGAAGCAATTTTTCTTTCAAAATAGACCTTATGTACTAAAAAAATAAAAAGATACCATTTATCTTTGGTACAAAGTGGTCACATTTGGATAGCTACAATTATTTCATAAAAAAATATAAAATAAAATCATTTACTTTTGATACAAAGTGATCATATTTAAAAACCTACAATTATTTTATTGACTAAACTTAAACTTCAAGAAAATTTTTATTGATATTTACGACACATTCAACCTATCAAATTTCAAATGGGACGGTTCAAATGGGACGGTGGTAAGTAACTGCGACGATAAACGGTTTCATTCTATACAATCTCAAAAAAAAAAAAGGAGGGATACAAGCTAAAAAAATAAAAACAGGACGGTGGTCCGCGTAATTTTGGCACAAGGTATCAATGGGCATGAAAGGTGTCCGTACGTAATTTATTATTATTATAAATCAGATCTTCGAACTTGTGCCTCATGACATGTACCCTGACGGGTGCTCTGCAAAAATGAAATATAAATAAATCAAAATATTGAACAATGGCATGTAATTCACAGAACACTGTAAATGGAGCGAACATATCACAATCGGGAGTTATTTATCACGCCTTCTTTGTTATTGAGATTGATCTGTACGCTCCCTACCATATTTTTATGTCTTTTTTTTATGCTACCTTCGACTATCAAGCACCAAGAGTATTCCATGCTCAGCCTTGTTCAAACCCTAAGCCTAAGTGGGTTGAGAGGTCTCCCTCTCTGCCTGCATTCTCCAAAGCTCAGGGCTTGTCGAAATGAATTTTATTTTTCGAGGAGTTTTGGGGCAAAAATGGCGTCAGAGATCATGCCTCGCATCAAGCTAGGAAGTCAAGGACTGGAGGTACAATCTCTGTTTTATCACTAGTTCATTATTTTTTATCCAAAAAATTAAGAAGCCCATTTTATTTAAGTGACATATGATTTTGATGCTTACTACATATATCTTTTAGCAATATCTGGGTGCCATCTTAAAATCTTTACTAGTAATATTTCTGAATTTAAGTGTTGGGTTTGTTTAGTCTTAGGAGAATGGGTTTCTTTTCTTCTACTTTGTTGATACTGTGTTTTTTGAGGAATATCTAATTGCTTGCTTATAATTTTGTAAGTATTATTGGTTCTCCAAATTCCTAGATGTTTTTGCATTTATGAATGGTGTTTGTTAATCTCAGGTATTACTTTAATGCTATAAAATTTCAGGTTTCCAAATTGGGTTATGGTTGTATGGGTCTGACTGGAAGGTACAATGCTCCTGTACCAGAAGAAGATGGAATTGCAATCATGAAGTATGTCTTTGACAAGGGCATTACATTTTTTGATACTTCAGATGTATATGGACCCAACCATATGAATGAAATACTAGTGGGAAAGGTATGATTTTATTTGCATAAGAAACTATTCCTATTTTGATTTTATTCATATTGTGTACTATTGTTAGCACCTCGCTTGACCTTTGATTTGGGGGACTCACAGAAGAAATGATCTTAACTACATATAAGATGGATAAGTTGAATACTAATTTCTATATCTAGTGTGAAAATATCCCCCTTTCGATAGCTAGTGGTTTTGATCAGGGACTAGTGTTCGAATGAACGATTTCGCCTGGTACTCGGCCCATGTCTGAGCTGAGTACTCGGCCCGAGTCTGAGTAACTCAGCCTGAGTCGGGCTGAGTAATGTAGCAGCAAAAAAGTGTTAAAAAAATTTAAAAATACAAAAAATCCAAAATAAGAGGTAATATATATTTAAAGTAAGATTAAACAAACACATCTAAATGAGGTTAAAAAAGTAGTAAAAAAAATAGATTTTGAAAAATCAGTTTGTGACGGGGGGTTTCCGAAATAATACCAAAAAGATGGGAAAATCCAAAAAAAAGTAGTCATAGCCAAAATACTTTCCAATCTTTGCCAGATGATAGAACACATAAATAAACATGTTACGAATTCATTCTTATTTTTTTAATTTGTTATAATTGTTTTAATTTAATTTAATTTAATTTTTTTTTTAAGATCCCCGAATTCGACCCCCTTCTTGGGACAACTCGGGCTCCGCCACTGCCAGAGCCCAAGTCCAAGCAACTCGGTCGATTTTTCAGAAACTGTCTCGGACAAACTTTGAACTCTTGGTCAATTTTTTATTCGACCTTTGGATCGGCCACACTCCCCTGAGAGACCTTTTTCCCAACCTCTTCCGCCTAGCCAGAGACAGTAATGTCTCAGTTGCGGATTCATTCCAAATGGTAGGTGCTTCTTGTTCTCCAAACTTCGGAAGACTTATCTTACAGAGAGGCCTCAGCCCTCCTTCAAGCCTCAGCCCTTCTTCACTCCGTCTCTCTCTCTCTCTCCCCATGGCCAGGACAAAATAATTTGGTCCCTTACTGCGGACGATTTCTTTCTCAGTTTCCTTCTTTTACCGCAAGCTCCATTCCATCCCAACCTCCACCCCTTCACCTTCCATTGTTGCCAAAGCTTGGCTATCCTTCATCCCTCTCAAAATCCAAGTCTTCAATAGGATTGCCCTCTCCGAGAGCGTCTTAATGGTAGGCCAATTACAAAGAAGGGGCCTGATCACTCCCAATCGCTGCGTGACGTGCATGGCCGATGAGGAAACAAATCCACAACACTTCATTCACTGCAGCTTAGCGAGCAACCTTTGGAAGGACCTACTTTTGCAGTTCAACTGGTCTTGGGCCACCCCTAGGTCAGTAACCCACTTGTTTGAATACACGAAGTTTGATTCAAACAAAGTTTCTCCCATGGGTTAAATCAGGCCTTCTACTATGGAAGTCCTCAGTCGTGGCTAGCTTATGGGCCATTCGGATCAAGCATTTTCGATGCTGTTACTCTCCACTTCATGTCCTGAGGGACAACATTAAATCCATGATTATCTTTTGGGCCTCAAACCATAGCCGCTTCAAGCACCTCTCAGCCTCAGACTTCCATCTCAACTAGCAGTCGTTCCTCTCTCTCAGGCCTAATGCCATCCCTCATTTGTCTCCTTGGTGACCTCCGGAATTGGGCAAAAACTTAACTTCAATGGTTGCTCGCTTGGCAACACAAGACCGGCTGGTATTGGGTGGGTGCATCTTCAGAAACCACTATGGCTTTTCCCTCTTCTCCTTCGCCAGACCTATCGGCCAAGTTGATTCCCCTACGGCGGAAGCTCTCGCCCAATTGGAAGGTCTCAAACACTTCAACCCTCACTGGAGCACTGAATTGGGCATGGAAGGTGATTCTAGTAATGTCATCCTCAGGGCCTCGGAGGAGGCTGCACCCCCCTGGAGACTTGCTCATGTGTTTGACAAGAATTTTGACATTTGCAGGCATATTCCCGTTTCATGGACTCATACCTGGTGGGAGGCGAGTCATGTGGCGAACGCTCTTGCTAGAGGAGGAGCAGCAATGGCAGGAGTTTAGAGACCTTCAGTTCGTGGGTTTTGGGGTTTTAGCCTTTTATCTTTTCCCTTTTTGAATGTACTATATTTTTTGACTTTCACCATGCTCTCGATGGTTTTTACATAGAGCTTCCGAGTTGTAGGGAGCCTATTTTTTGATAACTTGTACATCTTTATTCTATACAATAGTAAACACTTAAAAAATAAACACATTAAGATGCAAATATATGATATTTATGCTTGGCAGTTTTTGTTTTACAATGTGCAACAAAAAATGAGTGTCTTGTATAAAAACTAAATTTTAAACTTCTTTTCATGTATTGATTTGGTAGGGGAGTCACATTTTGGTTGTTAGCTACTTAGCTTACAATGGCAGTTAGTTGTTCCTTAGATATTTTCGGCATGACATCCTGTACAACTAGCACAGTAAGTGGGATGAGGCATGTGAGAATTGGACTCGGGGGACAAATAAAACTAACGAACTTGGCACTCCATTGCCCTCTAGAAGCTTTAGTACTTTTCGAATTTGATCTGTGAATTTAAAACCAAAATTTATTTTGATGTTGGATTGTTGCCATCATTTTTGTTGATAAGTAAAAATTATTTTATTCATAGGAATGGACATGATTACGGCTGTTAATTCCACACGATTTTATTTTATAATGTATGAATGTGGATGAGATGGTTACATGATGGATGGATGTTTATTATTTGATGAATAAGTACAGTCACTAATTGATTAAAAAAAAACCCTCCTATAAATTTTATTTTGTATCTTGTTCCGTTTATGTTTCGACTGTCATTTGCAAGATAATAAGTCTTTTGATAAGTGCTTGTGGGATTTGTCCTTGATGAGTATTTGATTCACTTGCTCTTAGTTGTTTGCTTTGAGCTCCTTCGTCATTTTGTTTGGGGTTTCATATTCAATGTGTAGAAGAATATCCTTTTTCAGGCATTGAAGCACTTACCTCGAGATAAAGTCCAATTAGGGACAAAATTCGGCATATTGAAGATAACAGAAACAGAGCTTGTGGCTAATGGCACCCCAGAATACGTTCGACAATGTTGTGAAGCAAGCCTTAAACGCCTTGATGTGGATTATATTGATCTTTACTATCAGCACAGGGTAGATACATCTGTGCCCATCGAGGACACTGTGAGCAATAGACGTGCTATTTAGTTCAAAATTTTATCTGCCTAAGTTGATTTTAAGGTCGTTTGTTTTCTAGATTCAGTCATGCAGTGAGCCCAAATCTCTCTCTCTCTCTTCTCTCTCACATCACACAACACATGCATAATCTTTCTTGACTTCCATCCGAATGGAATGTAGATTGGTGAACTTAAGAAGTTAGTGGAAGAGGGAAAAGTTAAATATATTGGGTTGTCTGAAGCCAGTATGGATACCATACGGCGTGCGCATGCTGTGCATCCAATCACCGCTGTACAGCTTGAGTGGTCCTTGTGGTCTCGTGACAGTGAAGATTGGATAATTCCTATATGTAGGTCTGTTCTTTCATGTAGTTTTGAAAGTTTTGAGGCTAATTTGCTTTTTTACTTGATAACTTCTTTGTTTAGATGGGTGCTTTTGTACTTTCATAAGTTATTTGCATTTTAGATGTGAGTATTATTCCTATAACGATTATGTATGTGAATATAATATATTTTCTATGATGTAGCTTCTTCTGTTGATTACTTTGGAGCTTTCGCACTTCATCAATTTGCTGAAGTTCCTTAGTGCATATCTAGGCTCTGTATTGGTTATAATGTCATTGTTTATGCTCATTAATGTACTTATATGCTGATATGAGAAAATGTAAAATGTATTAACATGCTTGATGCCTTCTTACTTGTAGGGAACTCGGTATCGGGATAGTGCCCTATAGCCCCCTTGGTCGTGGTTTCTTTGCCGGAAAGGCAGTCGTGGAAAGTTTGTCCAAAGAGAATGACTTGGTATGAACTGGGCCTGGGTCTGTGATTGTTTTGGTTACTGTACAGGGAAGTAGAAAGGAAATTGATAACCTAGTTCTCACCAATGCCCCAGCCCAATACCTCATCCCACACATGCTCACATGAGACACCAACTAAAAAAAGAAAAAAGACAAGTAGGAAATGCTATGTCTTATCTACAAAATTCACTATCATGTATTGAAAATCCAAGCCAACATGGGAAACTAGTACCTTATGTCTATTATAACATTTGCCACATTTCTCCAATAGGAAATAATTGTGGCGGGTTTCTGGTTGTTACTTTTTCACATATATTTGGATTCTACTTTTAACTGTTGCTTCAAAACAGGTTGCCCATCCAAGATTTAAAGGAGAAAACTTTGAGAAGAATAAAAGTATATACATTCGCATTACAAACTTGGCTGGTAAGTATGGCTGTACCCCTGCTCAACTGGCTCTTGCATGGGTTCTGTATCAAGGCGATGATGTAGCTCCTATTCCAGGTGATGCTTATATTTTTTCCTGTATTTATTAGGCTATCAATCGGCATATAGAAAATGTTGAAAGTCCATCTCTAATTAGGATAAAGGAATCAATTCTTAATCCAGTGGACCATGGAAAAAACAGAGCCTATTGGGTCATTGCTAGGCGTTTTATGGAGAGGGAAGAGGACTGTACGTTAGGGGCACTGTGCTTCTGGCAGGTTCCTCTCTCTCAACTGCTGTCCACTTCATTGAATAGTCATGACCCACAATGGTTTTCTGGTAGTCCAGTGGACAATGGAATGCTTGCCATTGGCGATAATGCATCTCATAGGACAAGAATGTCTCACTTATGTCAGTGACATGGTTGTCATTTGGCCCTTTAAGATCAGACAATTTTTTTTAAAATATATCTATTTTTCCTCAATGGTTCTCCAAGTGAGTTAATGAATCTATCACTGGATTGCCTCTGCAGGGACAACTAAAATTAAGAACCTTGATGAGAACCTTGAGTCCCTGAAGTTGAGGCTCACAGTTGATGATATCAAGCAAATTACTGACTCAGTGCCACTTGACGAGGTTGCGGGTTCTAGAGCCGAAACGAATATGTACAATTCCATTTGGAAGTTCACAGATACTCCTCCAAAGAGATAGCAGGCGCACAATTCATCAGAAAATAAAAAGACCACAAGTTCTGAACTCAACGGTAAAGGCTTGTTTTTCATCTTCTGAGGATTCTGAGGGTTCACCTACTATGGATAATTGTACTATTATTTATTCTCTGCTTTTCTCAGAAAATAATTAGTGGTGTTTCATATGCTGCAAAAAGTGAGGATAAAATTGGACCAGTGCATGCTGCTCTCTCAAAAAATATTCCATGGATGTTTTTCCATCAGAATTGTAACGGAAAGTGGCAGTAAGACTTTTTTGAAATTATAAATAGTGAAATTTAGTAAAATACCTGTGGGAGTTGAACAATATAACATTTTATCCATATAATCTGATTTAATTTCAAAATATCTGTCATAAGACACATGATCATGAGTTAGAAACACTGCTACAGAGAGCAAAAGTCTGCATTATTTCCGCAAGTAAAGTGACGTGTAATGGTACAGAATTGAGGCAAGGTAAGAGGGACTAATTTGTTACCGTCGCACAAAGTTTATAGGGCTTAGTTAGGGGTGAGGTTTATATTAGGCATTCTCCTTGAATAATCAAAGCTAGGCGAGAGGGGCTAATTTGTTCCCAAAGTTTTTTTCGATTTAGTTAGGGCTGAGGTTATATAGTCCATCTTAAACAATTGCATTTTCAAACTCCGCCTGAAATATGCAATTTCAGTGTCAGAAGCTTTACAAGGACATTAAAATCTATCATGAGATCATTTATATTTGGTACAAGTAATTTATAATCACTTTTTAACCATTAAATGAGTATTTTGATAAGCTTCTAAAAGAAAAAGAGCCAATATAATAGGGCCATGTCCTGCCCCAATATGTCAGGACTGGCATTATATTTCCATTTTATCAAAAGAAATTTAAACAAATAAATTGAAAGTAGTTTTTTTTTCTCTTTTTTTTTAATATGCATAAGAGATGATATGAACTATTCTACCCGTTTGAACTCATTCGAACATAAGATTATGTGTATCGATATTTCAAAATTAAATCAAAAGGCATAAGTAAGGTATTGAATTGCTCGTATCTCCTGGATAATTTGATATATTTCTCCTGTCCTTTAAAAGCCGTTTTCAAATGAAAGCCTAAAATAATATTGGAAAACCTCTTTCGTCGAACATCCAGATCAATGGTTTAAAAACCGGATCGGTGACCCGGATCGGGCTTTTCAAAAATTGATCCGGATCGACGAATCGGCGATCCGGATCGGCGAATCGGCGATCCGGATCGGCGATTCGGATCGGAATCGGGTGAATCGGTCATAATAAAGCTTCAAAAAAATCCAAAAAAATTATTAAAATTCATTATAAATATTGGTTTTTAGGAATTCAATAAAAAATGAGGGTACTCCATTAAGAATTTTCATGTTTTTGAATGAATATGCGAATATTGATATGTTCTTTCCCTGCATGAACCGCCATTCAGCATTTAATTTACAGTATTTCGTGCTCATCCTTACACTGTTGCTGTTGGGACTCGATATGTGAATTATATGGCTGGGATAGGGTGGCCTCAAAAT